TTTAAATGTAAATGCTAGAATAGTTTTTTTTATTTTCTTTTGACATGCTAATTTCAGTTGTCTTTATTAATTGTACCTACACTATTCTACTGTTTTTAAATTTTATAACTTTTCTTTCTGCCTGAACTATTATTTTGAAATTAAATAAAATTTTAAGTTTGGGGGAAGGGAGAAAATCTTTTTAAAAGAGCTAAACTTTATTTGTCCTCATAGAACTATATTTTTAAAATTTAATTTAACATAATCTGTGGTATATTAGGATAAATTAAGATAACTATATTTTAAATTTTATAAATGTTATAGAAAACTTAAGTTCAAGTTTTTAATAGTAAAGGTTAGTTCTAAAGTTAAAATATTTAGTTTGAGAGGATAAAATTATGCTTTTACTATTTAAAGTAAAGAAAATTATATTTTGGAATTGTTAAGAATTTTAGGGTTTTACTTAAAAAATAAAAAATTCAGACTTTCTGAAAAATCTTTTTCAAAGCTAATACAATTTTGTCAAAATAAGGAAATGTGGAAAGTTTTTAATTTTAAGAAGAGGATGGAGGAGTTCAAAATCTTTAAAGACTATTCAAATATAGTAATCCTCACATGACATGAAAAGAAAAAGATTCTAAGGAAAAAGAAAAAAAGAAAAGAAAAATAAAAAAAAAAGAAGAGCAAGAATGAAAAAATGTGATGATGCCCAATAAAAAAATGGCTCCACTTGAATCATCTTGAGAAAAGGAATTGAATTACATTTCTAAATTAAGGCTTAAAGTATTAACATTCTTACTAATAAAGTCTTCATGAAGTTCTTTTTACTGTAATTCTTTTAAGCATTCAAAATATGACCAAATTACAATTACTCTTAAAATAAATAAAAAATCAGAACTCTTAGACTTGACTATTAGATATTCTTAAATTTTAGTTTTGACCCGAGTTATTAAAAATTTTTCTAAAGTTTCACTATCAAATTTATAAAACATAAACTATAGAAATCTCTAAGTTAAACTCACTACCATAAGTTATGATTTTTACATAGTATGAAGGAGTTACTTGAGGATAAGTAAAGTTTAAGTTTGGGAGAATGATCCACCTTAAATTTACCTATTTTAAGAGCATATTTTATGATCGTTTTATGCATATTTTTAGTGATATTGCAATTTAAAGGAAGATATTTTGTATTTTTTTGGTTCCAGGTACATGGAACTGACATTTGGAGAAAATGATATAAAAATGGTGCAATTTGGCGCTATCGCCCCATAGAAGGGTGTAGTGGACGCTATAGCACCCAGACTGGTCCTAAGCGCTAGTAATACTAAAACTCTATTAGATCAAACATACATTTGGTTGATTTTAACAATCAATAGAGAAATTTGCATGTTTCAATCTCTTAGAAATAATGCACAAATATATCTAATCTATTCCATCTTAAGGATTAGGTTTTCTAAGCTATCAACAGGACTAGAAAACATAACTATTCCCGATTGATAGGGAATTTAAATTAAACTTAAGATTGTTGAATTTGGTGAAGAGGCTACAAAGCCAAGGAATGTTTAATATAATAGGAAAGCCAACCTAAATACCTTGTTTTTGAACTCAAAAAATTTAATCTATTGAATAAAAAAAAGGAAAATAAATTGTTACATATCTATCTTATAAATACCTTGTTTTCGAACTCAAAAAATTTAATCTATTGAATAAAAAAAGGAAAATAAATTGTTACATATCTATCTTATTGGAAAAAAATTGTGAAAATTCTTATGGGAATGATGTCTTATCTTATTTACTAAGTGATGAGCATGCTTGCGTATACCTATTCATCAATTAGGCCGAGGTCAATATACCCTTGTACCTAGGTGAGGCTAATCAAGCTTATTTGGCATTAGTTAAAGTAGGTTGGCAATATAGCTTAACATGACAAACCTTGAACTTTATTGAGTCATTTAGGGAACCTTGACCTTAAATTTAGCTTATACATTGTTGGACTAGGCCTAAAAGGTTTAGGAACCTACTCTAATCCATCCAAATTGAATGAGTTAACCTAATAACTACTAAACAAAGCCAAATTAAGCAAATCCTAAGTGTTTGGATAATCCAAAGTTTAGTGGCCTATCAGTAAGTAATAAAATTCTCTCTATATTGTTAAGTGCTTATATTTAAATTTGAAGAAGGATTGATTTGAAGTATGATAGCATTCTGATTGAGTTAATTAGGATTACTGCTTTGACAATCTTACTTTAGCGGATTCTTCCATCTCAGCCAATCACTGTACTAGAATTTCCCTCTAGACATTTGACATATGTCCATTCATCCTTCCCATAATAGAATCATGATTAGAATTTCACAGTATACAATAACATTAATAAGACAAGGGTATAGCTCACTCTATAGATAGTTTCCTCTCCCATGGGTTTGGGTTTATCTTTTTGGCTTTCAATGTAATCCTCAGATTATTCATCAACATCCAGAACCAACTCTCAAATTTTGCAAGGTCATCATATGCAAAATAAACCAAACAAACGAACCCAAAATGTTGGTAGCCATCCTGGTGATTTAAGAAAAAGCTAGCAAAGCATTTTCTAATATGTTATCTTCATTTACATGGATAAAGGTACTACAAGTGCAAGTGCACTATACTAGCTTTAGCTAAGGAAACTCTTAGAAATCCTAGATTTGAACATAATGTTTTCATGCCTTATGAATAAATGTGGACCATGAGATGAGAGAACCCTAGATCCAATTAGGTACTATCATTTCTATGAAGATCAAATTAAAAATTTGTTAGATCATGAGAGATGGAGAGTTTTCCATTAGATTGCTCTACATCATGGTGAAAGGATGCAAAAATGACCTTTTTGTTGATATGAACCAAAGTGATATAGTTTAAGTCTTGAGTGTAGTTTGTTTTCATTTGCATAATAATAAAATCATTTAGCAAGTTTTATAAATAAATGGAATTTTTAAAATGAATAATTAACCATAGAAAGAAAAGACAATAAAATGCTATAAATTTACAAAAAACATACAGAGAAAGAAATAAATATCTCAAAATAGTTTAACAAAGTATTGGTTAATTTCAAATTTTTCGCAAAATTTATACTTTGGAGCTTTATCCTTGGGTTATTCTCAATATATTTAGAAGCCATTTGTTTAGGAACCCTAAGGCTCTTCATTTATCATTAAGAACCTATAAGTCTCCTAAAGTCAACCCAATGCAAGATTTGCTTGGCCATTACCTCTTTATTTCCCATAAATCCATCTGTAACTTAGATATTGATGCCCCTTACGTAATTGTAGATTAGCCCAGATTATTCTTAGGTGGTTAAACTCATATATTTTAGGTCAGATCAAATAATCATTCGTTTAAAACTTAAAAATTACAAAAATACTTATTACCGTTTTTATTAACATTCATGTTAAGAGAACTTTTCTTAAGATATAGAGAACCATAAAAGCAAATTCTTATGAATAAACCACATTCAATTCATTCATATTAAATAAAAAATGATTTTTCGAGACAAGGACCCTAGTTTAAAAATACTAATATTTTAATTGGGTTTTTACATAACAAGGTCTCCAAAGCCTCCTATTTACGAGAAATATTTTCATACAGAATACGCACGCAACTCTGCGTGCATAATAATCCCTAAATAATCTCCGCTTTACGGTTAT